CCCGCAAGCATTCAGCAAGTCGCAAGTTTATTTATTTAGGATTTTCTACATATGTGTAGGTAAATATCAACCCTGTGGAAAGAAAGAATAAGAACAGATTCAAAAAATGCCACTGCTGATTGCAGATTCTCTTAGTAATGCAAGTCTAGACTCTCTCACAGTGAGCTGGAGTTTGCTTTGCGGCACATTCCTGCATCCTGACCCCTGATCTTCCAGACTGGGGAGCTGGCTGGAGCACAGCCATAGTGGTGCAAGGAGAGCACACAGCCAGGTCTTATTCCCCTATGGAACTAGAGGCAGGTGAGGCAGGAACCCAGTCAGTGGAACTTGGAAGTCTTCCCACATCGCTCTGCCTCGGTGTTACCGCGCTCCAGCTGAGCAGCCACCCAGTTGCACAAGCCACCTCATTGGCCTGACCAGAATTACCTCAACAGTAGTTGGACCGTGATGTTACCCTAAACAGTCGCTACTATCAGCTCTGGGTTGAACTGTATTAAACCACCAAGTCTGTTTATAAATCTTATTGTTCATATTAATGTTCTATCTATTGCATGAATTCAGAAGCCACAGCAAATGCTGAGATTCTATTCTGGCCATTCAGGTAGTTCTTCTTTTCAGCTTTACAGTATGCACTTGCTGCTCTTTGAGCTACACAGTATAATTCTATCACTTAAGCATCAGGAGAGAAGGATAATTCCCCTACAGTCTGGTGAGGATTCATGCTGTTTGAGTCATTCAAAACCAAAAAGCAAAGCATACAAGGGAAGCAGAGCTCTTTTAAGGAATGTGTTCAAGGTCCAGACATATATCTATCTGTTTACACTGCTATCTACCTGTTTATACTGTTAATTCTTCATTACGTGCACCCCTGTTTGCTCAGCTGCTTCCCAGAAAAAATGATTCTATCCTAAAGCTGAATCTGCAATCAAGTAAAAGAGTAGAGCATGCAGTGGTGGTATATCTGTGTTCCCCCCCCCGCCCCCCATTTATAACTGCTAATCGGAGGGATCACCTTCTTTCTTCTTTTACTCACTCTTAAAAGTTTATTCAGTGAAACATGTGAGGATGCGTTCATCTAGAGAGATGTTGGCCTAAATTTATTCTCTTTGACTGGACTTCATAATTTTGAAAATATCACCTGAGTAGCTGAAGCGCAGGAAAAACCCATTAGCCAAATAGTATGGAAATTAGATCTGATGAGAGATCTTAAATAAGTTTTGCTTGCTACTATACTTTTGCTAAACATACTCATTGCCTGGTGATTGCAGAGGAGGAAGGAAGGTTATACAGGAGAAGCCTATTTATAGGTAACTGTTTAATATGTTGTTCAGGAGTACTAAACATAGTGGGAATTAATTCCTTTTCATTAGACACAGTTGAAAGTCAAACAAATACAGAAATTAAGCTGAAGGATGTGTAGTATGCCTGCAGTTTGGACTAGAAAATTGGCAGGAGCCCAAATGATTTCTAAACACCAGCACTACATTAAATAAATCTTACGTTCTGGAAAAGTCCACAGGTTATGGCTTCCCCCCTTCTTTAGCTGACATAGTGAATTTTTACAGTTTAACACTGAAGTTATCACTCCTGTGATCACGAATTGTATATGAGGATCCAGGAATCTGGTCTCAAGACACTGGGCTTGGCCACATGTCAGAAGAACATCTGAACTTGTTTGGAGATCTTTAAACTCATTTCTAGTGCATTTATATTCACAGCAGTTAATATTTATAAATGTGATGCATTAATCTCCACTGGATTTTTGAAGTGTCTGTTTTTCATCAGAATAATAACTCTTTAAAATGTGAATGTTTATATATTCCTCTCTGTGTGAGAGAGAGACTTTGATTTAAAAAAGCAACTTCCAGATTTTTTTATTAATGATTGGGAATTCTGACTGTATCTACAAGAAATCTGTGTCAAAGAGAGTTTGAAGTATTAACTAGAAAGCAGTCTAGATAGTCTCAAAGATCATGTGCTTTAATCCTGGATTAATCATGCTGACAGTAAACACAAAACCTGCATTTACTTTGTTTTAATCTCCATTTGTAAATTAACCACACTTCTGAAGCCTTAACAGACTACGCCATATTTAAGTGTTACAAGGGTGTATTGCTTTCTAATCCCATTCAAACTGGGCAGTCAGCTGAGTGGTAGCCTATTCCATTGCTGTCAGATATTGAGTGTGTTTTCTTCTCATGCCAGGTGATCCATTGCAGTGGCTATTTGAAGATACGGCAGTATATGCTAGATATGTCTTTGTATGATTCCTGTTACCAAATCGTTGGACTGGTGGCTGTAGGTCAATCTTTACCTCCCAGTGCAATCACTGAGATCAAACTTCACAGTAACATGTTTATGTTCAGAGCAAGTTTGGACTTAAAATTAATATTCCTAGATTCCAGGTAAGCAGCTATTTCATTTCTAGCATAAAATGTTTTCAAAGTCAAGTGTTATCATAAGCTACAGTGGTTTCCAAATAGATCAAAATATCCATGAAAAATAAAGCAGTCCAAAATAGATCTGGAACACAAAGACCATGTGGGTCTTCAAAGCCATTCGGGTAGCTGGATAGACAATACTTTGTCTTGAATACCAACATATAAGAGACTGTACAATTTAACCTACAGTTACCTACAGTTTCAGAGAGTCAACTAAAGCCGTTTTGCTGTGAGTAATAGGCAAATAAGCAGTAATATCTTTTTACCTTAAAGGACATGAATTTTAACATATAAAGCTAGAGGAAGGAATAAGGATGTACCATTATCCATAACGTAAGAAAAGCCACAACTGAAACACTGAGGTCAAATACCTTGCTGGGGTCATCCAGAAAGCTTTTGACAGAGTAGTAAGAGAACATAGTCTTCTGCACTTTGATGTAATGCCTTAACACTGAAACCAACCCTATTAGTGTGGTTGTTAGAATGAAAACAAATTCAGTTGGCTACTACATGAAATCACAGCCGCCTTCAACAAAACTTGGGAAAACGGCTATTGCAAAGGAAAGAGAACCCTGCCTCCACTCTCAGCCGATACAGCTCACGTACCAGCTAAGAAAAGCAAGAGCACAAACCTGGAACTGAAGGAGTCGTGGAACGAATCATTCCTCTCTTTTTGAAACATGGTATCTATTAGTATACAGGGATACTTCATACAGTGCAGTTCAAGATACCTTGAGGGGAAAAGCCCAGTTCCCAGACAATATAACAGATTTGACTGTTGACAAGGTTATCATTCTTCAAAAGTCCCTGCATGTGGAGCAGTACGTGACACACTGTCATTTCCCTCGCATGCTGGATTTGCAAGAAGCAGAAATTATATTCATGTGTAACCGTGAAAAAGAGTCCGTATCCAAGACAGTGGGGAAGTTTTACATGGCAGGTCAACCATGCAAGAACATGCTCTTTCTTCATGCTAAGTCAATGAGATAGTGGGCCATCAGCTGCTAAAATACAAAGACTTAGTTGTTTCTGGAATACTTCCTTTTTTTTTTTTGGCATGCTTTACTTAATGTAACAGCTACAAAGAAGCACAAGGGATTCAGCAGCATGTCTTTGCATGTGGAAAAAAGGAGATGATGTGCCTAAGAGGAACTGCCTCTAGACATAAGCATCTTCAAAGGAGACAGTATAACCAGAGGTGTTGACAGAAGCATGGATAGAACCAGTACTACTACATAGCTGTGTTTACCAAAGAGCAGATGGGTGTCTGCCACACACAGGACAGTCAGGGGTATTAAGCATTATCAAAGCTCTTTGCTTTCCCAGCTGAGCAGACCAAATTATATTTGCTCAGAGCAGGGACATATTAGGAGTAAGACAAAATTTTTTTTTCAGGCTTGCTTGTGGTATCCATACAAGGACAAGTGCTGCTAGATCTTTAGAGGTATCAGTCCAGCAGACAGACCAGTATTAAAGCCATAGGAAGGAGCAGTTAAATAAGTCTTTCTAGACAGTTGATACTGATCATTGGGGCATGCTCTGTTTCCTTCTGTGTGCCCTGTCACATGCAAAGAACAATCTTCAGAGCCCAGGCTCCCTACAGTGGCTTGTTAAGGGGTTGGTTTTGTGTTAAGCAAGTCAAGCAGGTGATCTTATTTCCAGATGTAAATTTTTCAAAAGTTTGGATGTCCTCGTAACTGCTATTAGTGTTTTTTTTGCCCTTGGGAAGACCTGCTTCAAAATGAGGCTGTACCTCCAGAAAAGCTAGCACCTGGCTGAGGTTCGTGGCATTTTGTTTAGTTTTGGATTAGCTGTTTCTGTACTCACCGATTAAGCAAGCAGGATGAAACTGGCACCCTTGTTTTAAATGCACTGAAGTCAGAAGGAGTACTGAAACCTGAACAGGATCTTTCATCAGTATTTCACCATGCTGATAGGCTCAAGTGAGAATCTGGGCCCCCAGAACTGTAAGTCAGGAGGGACAGGGCATACTGCAGAGGAGAAACACAAGCATGTATTCACGTACCCTCCTGCAGAAAGAGAGCACGTGTGCTCACTCTGCTTTGAAAGTCTCTGACTGAGGCAAAAGCATGTAAGAGTTTCCCAGATGAAGGCATAGATGGGAGGGTTATGGATTTATTTATACTGTATTTATAATAAATCAGAAGGCAAGGGCTTTGGGGTTTTTGTGGTTTGTTTTTTTTTTCTGATTTCCATCAGAAGAATCCCACCCCCCAACGCGCTCTCTCAAGTAGAATGTAAAGTGCTCAGTCCCTGTGGGGTCCACATGATTACTTACTGTTAGGGTAAGAGTAAAGAAGATGCATAATAGTTACAAAAGAAAATAAAAAAATCAAAGTTTACATTATCCGCAACCCCCAATGACACACGTTGCTTGAGACCCTTGTATTTATTTCTGTAGATACTACAGCGTTGTTCTCTGATACACAGCATCCTCATCAATGTTGAAGTTCAGACTAGAAGTACTTCTTGAAGTGAATGTCCTGACCATCCCCACTCATTGCACTGCAGTTCTTATCATGAAGAGGCCTTAGGCATGTGACCTGGATTCTCTCTGGATGAATCTGAATTGGAATACAACCTCCAAGAGCATGTCTAAGGCACTCCAAATATTATAAAGCTTTCAGTCCACAGGTCTAGACGAGAGCTAGTCCCAAGTAAAAGTCTCCTAATGAAAATATGCAGATGCGTCTGCTGCTGCAGAGTAGATCCTCAGCAGTAAAAATTTTACTCTACAGATTGCCTGCTAATGGACTGTGGTGTTTGTTACAAAGACATGCCTTTTTTATGGTACCTCTGGTCTGCCTTTTTAGGTGAAGAAAGCCCAGGACAGCATAAAACACCCCCAGCAACACTAGGTAAACAAGCCACATCATGGCTGAGTTTCACAATGTACTTTAAGGATTTTTGTTCTCAAGAAACAGTGCTAAATAAACAAAAGTCCATTTTGAACCATGAAGTTGGGGTCTTCAGGTCTGACCCAGTGTAAGTCTGACCAGTGTAGTCTGGTTCTGCAACATCTGCAGAGATGCTGCTCTTTCAGATTTGTTCCATTATTCTACTTCTCACCATGTGAGGATGTCTTTCTGAAGTCTAGCTTCAGCCTTCCTTTTCTTAGCTTGTGATCTTCATAGCTCCTTGTCTTTCCACATTTCCAGCTGGAATAAGCTCCTGCTTCCTTCTTCTGTTAGGCATTAGCCTGAATTTACTTATAGTCTGTGATCACAGCTTCTATGGACTGACATACATGCTACACCTGTATGTTTGCAAAGGAAATTAAAATGTGTCAGCAGTCCACAAAAGTAGTTTGATTGTTTCACGAATGGCTCCTCAACTGGATCTTTGTGCAAAGGATTATGCATGGCAGTGGCAAAAGCCAAAAGTGGAAATAAGTAAAAGAACTCTTTTTCCTGCCTGGTTAGGGAATAGCTGCACCTTGCTTTGGCTGGGTTGAGAGGGTTTATTTTCTTGTAAAGATGAGTATTCTGTTTCCAAAACTAACATTTTGTCCTGCAGTTTTTAGGCATATAATTTGTTCACACAGTCAAATGTTAGGTTAATGAAACTGAATATTCCTAGAGATTTTGCTTATTATGGAATCTTCTTTTTCCAGGGTGACTGAATTAACTGGATATGAGCCCCAAGATCTGATAGAAAAAACCCTCTACCACCATGTTCATGGTTGTGATGTGTTCCATTTACGATATGCTCATCATCTGCGTAAGTAAAAAGAGTGCTAGACTGAAATTTATTAAGTAGAGTGAGAAATTTTGCAGAAAACTGGTACGATGCTAGAAAGTAGAGAAAGCTTTCCAGATCTTCACTGGAGTTAGATTTTCAATAGTGCTTGGCTATCACTCAAGGAAACCATTAGTTCTGCAAATAAGCTAGATACTTAATAAGCTGGGCTTCTGAAAAAAAACATATCTGGCCACTTCTATCTTTCTACTTAAAGGATCTAGGCTCTTTTGAAAATTTGGAGCTGATTCTGGGTGGTGAACTTGTGAAGGACAACATTCAAAAGAGCAAGTGTGAGTGAGAAGGGAAAATCTGAACTTTACTAGCCTCTGTTGCCAAGAGAAAAATTATGCAGCAGCTCCCCATTCCTCTGAAATATGTCAGTAATAATCATCCCATGTTTGAAGTCAACACAAACCCAAAAAATCCTTAGATTAATGTTCATTAATAGCATGTGGATGAGGTTTGGAGAATGGAGTGTCAGGAAAAAAAAATTACACATTTAATAATTCCCCATCTGCCAACAGAGACACTAATCATATCTTCAAACATCTGGATTTGGGAAGTAGTTCCTTCAGTAGCACATTAACTTGAGAAGCAAATTGAGGGAATAGCTGAACTCTTGATTTGGCTCGGTCTGCCACAGCCCATACGATGCAAAGATGACATCCAAAAACCTATGTCAGTGACTTTTTTTCCAGATTGCTCCTGTAGGCTGAAAGCAGCCAGAGTCAAATCCTTCTTTTAGGCTTCCTTAAGGAGAAAATAGCCAGTTCTTCACCTTAACATGTGCTGTTCATGAGGATCTGGAATAGAAAGGAGGTTGTAACTGTATTTGGCAAGTCAGTGCTGATATTCCAAGTGCCGAATGCTGTTGATGGCAGTGTATGCTACACCTGGGAAAGCAGAAGCTGATCTTTACACCAAGTTCATGTTTACCAAAACACCATTCAATACTCTGGGCCATTGCAAACTAAAAACTAGAATGGCCAGGGTAGATGATATCCCCTGTTGGAGGCATCCTCTTTGTAGTGGTAACATCTGCATCTGGATGTGGCTGTTAACCAGTACCAAATATCACTCATTATTTTCACAAGACTATTTGAAATAGCTATGTCAATCAGTATATAGATGATACCATTATAGCCACAGTCATCTCTGGAAAACAGTTTTCCGTTTCGGAGCAGAGTGATGGATAATTCTGTGTGCGCAGTAAAAGACTTGTACTTTGGCTGCCAGTTTGATCTATGTATGACTGGAGTTTTCAATTAAGAGACAAATCATGTTTCCTGAATTACACCCCCACCTCATTCCACAAGAAAAAAAAACCTAAACCAAGCAGAATAACTAAAAGCATTTCTCTAAATACTGTATCTGAATTACAAAGATAAATTATTGTACAGTTTAAAACCAGAAGAAAAATGTGATACATATGCATAGAAATTTATGGAAGTTGCAAAGCAAATAAATGCCAAGAAACAAAAAATAATGGCTAATGCTTGGGCAACAGTGGGAACAGTGCAGAATCATGGTTAGAATACCAAGTAATAGGAATTATTAAAACAGATGTAAAGTGTACAAACTTCGTCTGGGGAGCACTGTTATAACTCCCCTACCATCCATCAGTAAATGTCTTAGGAACACGAACAGTAAAAGGTTGGCAGGTTTGACGTACCATTCTATAAAGCAATCCAATGATTAAGTGTCATCTGATGAAGATATCCGGAGAGAAACATCTTGCACCTAATAAGGATATTAAGAAAAAAAAAGAAAAGAAAAAAAAGGCATCCCTAAAATAGGGTAACAAATTGCTTTTTCAAAGAGGAAAAATAATTTCCCAAACTGAAGACCTAAAGCAACTGAACTTTAAGTCAGGCAGCACAGAGAACAAAACAAAGGAAACAGTGAGGAGAAGTTAGAAGCCATATAACAAGAGCATCAGACTATGAGGAAAACGTAGATGTGAATATTTGCCTAAGGTGTGCTGGCAGCAAACAGTGTTTCCTGTTTTAAACATTTGATTAGCTTCCAGCTATATGAAAAAGTTTCTGGCGTTTGAACTAGAGTTATTTATTTCTATAGTACCATCAATATACACAGTGTTTCCTCTGCAACTGGGGAAATGTGGCCACACAAATAATGAGTTCCTGCCTAAGGATCTTGCATTCTAAAAGATAGGATAGAGAAGCTGTTCCAGTATAGACAAAATATTCCTCTGTTCCAGTGCAGACAGAATATATTTCTGGCCTCAGAGAAATCACTTCATTTGTACCATTGTCTCTCCGTGAGGAGGATTTTGTGCATTCTACACATTGTAAGATCATTGCTCTTCCCACATAAATTTTTACAAGAGTCACATCTCTGTGCTTTGGTAAGACAAGTCCCAACCCCAGCTGATGTCATCACCAAACTGTTTTGCTGCTTCCTGGAAGTCAACCTCTGTATTTATAAAACCTGTCTTATAGCAGAGCACAGTTTACACTCTGTCCATGGCATTGAGTGGACTTTTACCCCCCAGCAATCAAGCCTTCTGGCAGAGCTGCATTCATTTTTAAAAGGGCAGAGGAACGGTAGCGTCTGCTAGGGCACCATCCACTGACCTTACTGCTCAAAGGCTGGGCCAATGACATGCCAGGTTGTTTGTGCCAGGGAAGCTGAAACAGTAACTGCTACAAGTGAGGAAGCAAGAAGTTCATTTCTCTTCATGATATCCTTAACAGCAGACTAGGAACTCCCAGCCATAAGCCCATAAGCCTGATGGTACCTTTTAAAATAGCCATCTATGACAGACCAGAAGGACCAGCCCAGCCAGCCCAGTGCCTTTTTCAGCTTGCCTGCTAAACCAGGAGGGAACCACAACAGCGGAACACCCAGTTACAAACGGCACATCTAAGAGCCAAGGCTAAAGCCACTGAATCCTCCTCGTTTGATTGCAGCAGAGGCCACCAAGAAGTCTGAGCCTGCATAGATTGTCTCGGTAGTGGATTTACCTCACTCCCATTTCTGAGGTTTCCCACTCAGCATCAGACAGGGTTATTTAACACACAGCCAAATGGAAATTGACCTCATTTACTGTATTGGAAGTGCAGCTACTGTCTCCTGGCCAAGGCCAGACTTTCCCCAGATTGCTAAAAATGCAGGAGACATGGAGTCCTCCTCCATCCCAGGAGAAATATTGGTTTATCCATATAATTAGGAAGGAAATCTGAACACTGTAGTCCTCAGTGGTTTTCACATCTTCTAAAATACTCTCTTAAGTGGAGAGCTAAAACAGGAATTTAAAAAAAATCAGTGAGAAAAAGAAAGTCAAAACTAGTCCCAAAGGACACGGAAGAACTTTGTTATATCCGTTACAGCATTAATTTCTAGTTTGGAAGACTGAGCAGCAAGGAATTCTGAATTCCAGAAAAACCTGACCATTAAACTAGCATGAAGACTTAGTTCTGAAAATCCTAGACCATATTACAAAAAATATCTTTCACATGATCTAGGCCAAAACGTAAGCATCATTTCCTAGAACTGGACCATTTGTGTTAAAGAACACGGAGAAACATAGAGATTCCATGGCATACAGCTTATTAACAAATACTTCAAGAACAGACTTATTTGGCATTGTTACACTGAATCTTTGAGTAGCAGCTACAAGACCCTTACCGTGGAGTGATATATTGCACTTAAAGAGTACACATATCTTTATTTTCTGTAGGTGTGTTTACATACTTACACACATATTCCTCATGATTTTCTTAAATATCGGTACATATGCACACCCCCACCCCATAGAGTATTCTATGTGGAAATGTATGCACGAAAAAGCACACCAGGAAGTATGAGGCAAAAATTTTCTCAATAGAGGCTTCAAACTCTAAATAATACTGGCTTAGTGTCAGCAAGGATGGGCTTTCGAATGTCCTGCAAGATGTTGTTTATCTTGTTGCTTTCTGAACAAATGGATACCATGTCCTATAATGGAAGGAGAGCTGACACTTCCAGAAAGACCCGTCTAGATCCATTTTGTAAGAGCTTGATTTTCTCAGGGAGATTAATTGGATTTGAAGAAAAGTTTAAATAAGTTGTGACGTGTGAGGATGGATAGGAGAGTAAGCAGTCCAGTGTGATGACCTATATGCTACAGATTTAGAGGACCTTTTAGCAACAACAAAAACTCTTGCTCTTCTAGTTCTTTCAGTCTTACATTGGGCTATTCACATTATTCACATTACTGTGGTCTCTGATTACTATCGAAATTACAAACCCCTACTCCCCCAAACAACAACTGAACAAAAAAATAGCCAACCCCAGCAATGACTGATAGCCATATAGTTAATTATCAAACAGTAAACAAAATCCCAAAGATCATGCACGCTTTAGTTCCCAATTTAACGTTGGATGACCTCCCTGTCAGAAAAACATTCTATGAATACTAATTATAAGGACATACATTTTCATTTCAAGTCATCGTTTGCGGTACTAGAGTTGGCTGAAAGAGAAAGTTGTTCAGTTTCCTTACTATGTATCTGCTTCTGCACCAAGCATGTGCAATGAGAGAACAAAATTACAGTGAACTTTGCTACAAAGTTCAGTCTAGTACAAGCCCTACATTTGCAAGCAGTAATTCCATTTCTTAATCATGTATTATGTAGAGGAATTGCTGCTATTGATTAGTTTTTTTGGACATAGTTTGTGTAGCAAGCTCAATCCCTTATTTCTTCCTTTAAAATAAATAACTGATTGTATAGAAGAGTAAGAAGATGGAGTTTCCCAGAGGAATGCTCCAGGGTCACACAAGAGAAGAACCACATTCAAAGGCTGGGCATTATGTTATAGTGAACCATTAGATAAATGCCTGGCACCGAACCAGAAATATTTGTGGCTTGATAAAATCTTTATAGATGCTGCACTACTGCTATTACAGCATAGCCTTATGCCAAAACATCTTTGTTCACAGAGAATCCAAACTGGTGTACAAAAGATCACATTTCTAGTGAAATCCATCAGATAACTGATTCACCTCTCCGGCCTTGTCTTTATTTGTGTGCTTAAGAACCAAATAGGATTTTAATACCCTTTTAATTCAACCTTCAAAATGTAGAGCTTACAGATGAAAAAGCAACACAGCATAAAACACATTGCAAAATACACAATAATCTATCAGGCTATGAATGACAAAAGTGCTTCCAAATACAATGGAAAAAATCAAGCTAGTTGTGTCTGCTTCCAAATACTTTTGCTGCCTTGAACTTTTCTTTTTCAGTTTCTAATGCAGAATGTAAGCATAAAAGAGCAGGGTGAACTGGAAAAGAAGGGAGACAAACCTTAATAGTTCACAATAGCCTATTTATAAACAAACATGTGACCTTGTGAAACTATGTAAAGGGGCAGGACAGCTACCTTTGCAGGGGAGCTATTTAAACTTTGGTGGGAGGAGGAGGTTTAAAGGAGGGGGAGAAGGGAGAAAAGTCCCTGCCTTGCACATAAATCTCTCCAGGAAGTGGTCACAAGTCCAAGCAATGTGAAATGCTTTTTTAAAATATATTCACAGTGTTGGTGAAAGGCCAAGTCACAACCAAGTACTATCGACTACTGTCCAAGCACGGAGGCTGGGTTTGGGTACAGAGCTACGCTACTATTGTGCATAACAGCCGATCATCACGGCCTCACTGCATAGTGAGTGTCAATTATGTCCTTACGTAAGTCAAAATACTTTGTACCATTACGTGTTCTAAGTATTTGATTCATTTTGTGTGTCGTCAGTAATTGATTCACTAGTAATTCAATCCTTTAAGTTTGCTTTACTCTTGTCTTCCAGTATTATTCTGTGTTTGCATGCTGCAGCCATTTTCCCCTCCTCATATCCTGCCTTTTTTAGTTACGTTCAGCTAAAAAGAGCTAGTATTCCTGACGACTACCTAGTACACCATATGCTGGAATGTAGTACCACCTGTAGCCATTTGCGTTAGACCTGGACCCCAGTTCTGTAACTGGCATCAGAACTGCGCTGGGGCTGTTCAGACACAGTGAAAGCTACTGCTAACCAGCAGAGGCCACAGTGTCAATTTGGGAGGCAGAGACATGGTAGGAAGCATTACTCCTTTCAGGGACAGGTGAGTCACTGAGGATTCCCTCACTTGCCTTGGGTGGCACAGATACTCAGGGCAAAACGACATTCTCACAGTGGCAAGTAGCTGCCACTCAGCTGGTGAATGTACAGTGATTTGGACCTGCAGTTTACAAAATATGGTTCCAGTCATGAAGGTGTTGCAAAATTCTTATCTTGATATAAACCTGAGAGAGACAGAAATCTATACAGAATAAGCTGAAACAGACTGTGACTGAAGACACTGTCTGTGGGGGAAAAAGGAAAAAAGGGATAGCAGGCACCCACTGTGTTGAATAGTGTAAAAAAGCAGGGAACTATACACTCCTTTTGTCTAGACTGATCCATTTCTTATGTAGCTGGAAAGTAAGAAGCGTTTGCATGATGTGTGTGGTAGGATGATGTATGGTTGCATATTACAATTGTTGTCTCTGATACATATCTGTGATACCTGGGGAGTTGAAGTGTAGCTGTTGAGAAATCACAGAGTGTTTTCTTAAACTACTTGAAGTAGGTACTCAGCCCTGGACACACTGGCTAATGCTGCCCTCATTCCCATACAGATGTGAGAGGCAGCAGCGCGAGGGAAAGACTCAGCCCTGCAACCTGTTTGAGTCCCACGACTTGGGGCAAGTCATTTGAGTAAAAAGGAAGACACTGTGCTAGGGAAATAAAAACATATTGAGTTGAATTTGCTTCCGGGTTATTCACCATCAAAAAGTGATGGAAATGAGTTCTGAATAGGAATTGAAGAAAGAAGTAGGGTTTTTTCTAGATCTCCTTTCAAAAATAAGCTCCACTGTTGCTACTGACAAAACCAGGGGAGTTTTAATCCCCTTTAATCTGATGATTTAATCATCAGAACTGTATCAATTAATGTTTCAAAATATGATCCACAATCTGTTCTTGATTTGTTTTTTAGCCTCTTCTGTACAAAACCCTGTCCTGTCTGTGGGCCAGATAAAACTGAACACAACAGAGCAGAAATGAAAGTCTAGAGACTGCCAGAAGAACAACATTGCAGCTCCTGTGGTCTAGGTACAAGCACATTGTGCTGGCAGGAGAGGAACATCACTCCTTTTCCTTTCCTCGGGGCTAATTGCGAGAGCCAGGGCAGAGACCAATTCCTGATTGAGGAGGAGACAGATGAATTGATCCGTGTCTTTCTATCATCCAACATGGCTGTGATTCCAAACTGCAGGGTGCCACGGATGGCTGAGAAGAAGTTAGCACAGCTTAGGTTGAGACAGTGGGGACATTTAGCACAAAGAAGTTAAAGCGGTTCCCGGTGGAATGTTTGTGATTGATAGACTTGCGTGGGGACAGGGTCAGACCATAAAATTCACTGTCTGCTGACACCCCCAGCCTTGCACTGCAGACAGTGAAAATCTTGGAAGAATGAAAATAGTGAGTGTGAAACTGTGAAAGCTAATATGTATCTTCAAAGGAGCCATTGTGGATTTGTGTGATATGTTTGAGTATGTAATTTATTGGACTGTTCTTTTGCAGAGATATTGAGTATAAGGAACTTCAGTTGTCACTGGACCAGGTTACCATTTCTAAGTCACAGTTTTCATGCAGAAACTCAGTGTCTACCTCACAGGAAACAAGGAAAATAGTAAAACCCAAAAGTAATAAAATGAAGGCAAAACTCAGAACAACGCCTTACCCACAACAGGTAACATTTTGTGCAATATTTACTTATCAGCTGTTGTGGTAGAGTGCTTGGGACAGGATAGAGATCATCCAGAACTGAACATACTGAAAAACTGACTATAGTGTGCTCAGCCGCTGGAACTCCTTGCAGGCCAGAATACAGTTAGACCCTTCTGTTCCTGGGGTGTGCAGCACAAGTAGTACAAACCAACTCTGGCGAGTGATGCAAACACAAAAACTTTTGGATTTGGAGCATGTAAAGTACTTCAAAAACAATGTGTTTTCTTGGTAAAAAGAAGAAAAACATGTACTAAGAATAGCTGTACTGTGAAAATTTGTGCTGGTGCAGAATGCATCTCATTCACTGTTGATACATGTAGTTCTTAGTGGCACATAGGTATTAGCAGTTTCCTTCTGCTGGAGAATGCATCTTAAGAACTAATCCTAGCAAACAGAGCACTGGAGTAGGATTTGGAATATATCTCACTGTCACTGGGTGAGCTAGAACCAGACGTGAAAGGAGACTATGGAGATTGTCCATAAAACCGGGTCGGTGAGACGGACAGTCACCATGAGACATTCTGAGACCTTGCAGTGAATATTGCTGGAAGGGACTACTATCACCTTAAAACAGCTTGACATATGTCTAAAGCTTGACATGCCAACATATGCAAAATCATATTCATGGTCTGCTACTCCATTTGTCAGTGACTTTCAGTGCTTTGCAACAAACTTCTGCCCTCTAGTATTTTACAACTGCCTACACTTACTAGGACAACTGGCAAAATTATCAAATCAACCCTTAACATTAGGATCACAAAGAAGCTTTTTGTTCCCATGTTAAGTGAAGGTAAAGTTATCGTGCAGACAAGGAACTTTAAATGCACTGGTAAGCCAGGCCCTTTAGCCAGTGAGATCGCAGTTCAAGGAGGTCCGGCTTTGGACGCCTGTATGATATGTTACGCGGTTTCATGCAAAAGTTAGTCATTTAATTCTCTTCCCCTCCCTTTTTCTTTTTTTTCTTTCCTCCAGCAATACAGCTCATTCCAAACAGACAAACTGGAATGCAGCCAGGTGGGAAACTGGCGATCCAGCCCTGCAGTGAACGCTGCCACCATTCAAGAACAAAACTTTCATTCAGAAAACAGTGAACTTTTATATGCCCCGTCATATAGCTTGCCTTTCTCCTACCATTATGGACACTTTCCTGTAGATTCGCATGTCTTCAGTAGCAAAAAGCAAATGCTGCCTTCAAAGTTTGGGCAGTCTCAAGGAGCACCTTGTGAAGTGGCTCGATTTTTCTTGAGTACACTGCAGACAAACGGAGAATGCCAGTGGCATTATGCCAACTCCTTGGTACCCAACAGCCAGTCACCATCCAAAAATCTTCCTGATCAGCCAGTGAACATCATCCGACATAATCTTGCACAGAGTTATGAAGGTGAGTGTCACTTCAAAAAAAGGAAAAAAGGAAAGCAAACCTGTGGGGTGTCTGGGAAAGATTTGTGACTGTAGTTTGAAAACAGAAATTATAGAGTTATAGAATGCTTCGGGTTGGAAGGGACCTTTAGAGGTCATCTAGCCCAGGCCCTCTGCAGTGAGCAGGGACATCTTCAACCAGACCAGGCTGCTCAGAGCCCTGTCCAACCCGGCCTGGAATGTTTCCAGGAATGGGGGATCTGCCATCTCTCTGGACAACCTGTTCCAGTGTCTCACCACCTTCATTGTAAAAAATTTCTTCCTTATATGCAGTCTAAATCTACCTTATTTTAGTAGTACCCTTTTTTACCCTCTTTAAAACCATTACCCCTTGTTCTATCACAACCGCCCTTACTAAAAAGTTTGTCCCCATTTTTCTCATAAGCCCACTTTAAGTACTGAAAGGCTGCTAGAAGGTCTCCCTGAAGCCTTCTCTTCTCCAGGTTGAACAACCCCAACTCTCTCTGCCTTTCCTCATAGGAGCGGTGCTCCAGCCCTCTGATCATTTTTGTGGCCTCCCCTGGACCCGCTCCAGCAGGTCCATGTCTCTCCTGTGCTGAGGGCTCCAGAGCTGGATGCAGGACTCCAGGAGGGGTCTCACCAGAGCAGAGTAGAGGGGCAGAATCACCTCCCTCAACCTGCTGCTCACGCTGCTTTTCATTCAGCCCAGGATACAGTTGGCCACCTGGGCTGCGAGTGCACATTGCCGAGTCATGTCCAGCTTTTCATCCACCAGTACCCCCAAGCGTTTAGGAAACACAGAAAATCAGAAACAGTGAAGTGTAACAACTGCTATGTTTATAGTACTTAAATGTTCATCCCTCTTCTCATTACCATCAGAATGTGATTAGGAATATTACCAAAGCATGAGTTGGAAAAATGCATTCACCAGAATCACTTTTAGAATAGGACAGAGACACCACTCCCTTTAATATTGGCACAGTTTACCTTCATGTTTTGCACTATCCAAGTAATTTAGTGGAATTGCTCAGGTAAGTCACAGCTGAAGTCAGAAAGAAACAAATGTACTTCAGTTCACATAAAGAAATCAAAATAAATGTGATCTATTTCCATAAAAATTGAAGGTTGTCCTTTCTGAGTATGAAGCCATTCTGAAGTTACTACAGTAAATGAAATGCAGTCTTCTGCTTTATTTGAAAATGTCTTCAGTGCTCCTCCCTGATCAACAGCGTTATGTCTCTGTACAGATGGTCAGCTCAAATACTTTGAAGGAAGCACTGAAGACATTGACTTCTCTGAGGTGGCAACCGATCCTATAAAAAATAACCTTGCAAAGCTATACAGTAACTAATATAAATGTAAACAAGCTCAACATACACTCTTATCCTTGGTTCTCATATACATTACATCTATCTCCATACACCATTTTGATGAGTTAAAAATCACTTATGAGGACTGACTGGTTGATATGCTGTTATAAATTTAGATGGAAACACTCCTTTCTTCTAGCTTCATTAAGGATGGGACAGAGGAAGCAGTAGTGGAAATTCAAAATAAAAAAGCTAGAAAAGATAGGCTAGAGAGTCTTGAGTACCAGAAAGAAGCATTTATTCACTTAGGGACATGACATTAGCTATCCTAGATCTGAAGGGAATATCTGCAAATGTTAAAAGCTGAGCTACATCAGACAGAAGACGGTATCAGACATTGAATGTTTCCCACAGAGGAACAAATAACTTTTGCCCAGGGTTTTGTCCTTCACAGGACCATTTGACCTCACATAGCTGACTGACCGTGGCATTTTATTTTACTGTTCTGTGTTTAGGTTGAAAACGAGCAAGAATGAAACTCTTCTTACAGCCTAGTGCAGGCTAAATGCTTTTTCTGAGCTCGTGCTCATCTAATGTGCTGGCTTCCTTTTCTTGCTGTTGTGGACTGGGTGTGAAAAGCAGTAGCTCTAGACCAAAAATAAGAAATGGTTGTGCCCTTTCTAAAGAGGCTGTATCTTTGTGTAAAAGAAAAAAAGCTACATGTTTTGAGGAGAAGTATAAGGATTGAAGTAAATCCTGCAGATCCCCAGTAAGTCTGCAAGAACAGAGCTACTGTAGGTGTACAGAAATCAGCCCAGCTTTTCTTCTCTGCTTCCAGACTAACAGATACCGTGAGACTGACCGAGAAAGTAGATCCACCCTTTGCTGGTCAAAGGGTGCCATCAGACACCGAGAATGGATGTGGAAAGAACAGCCTGTTCTCTGAACAGGCTGTAAAATTGATCGTGGCCATAGCGTTTGCCAGAAAAGCCCAGTGAGCATAGCAGCAGACAAGCAATTTACCATCGGTCGGTTGATACGAGCAGATAGCTCCTGCTAAATATATGAAGTCAGAAGGATTCCACAGGAATACTGTTAAATATGTGAAAAAAAATCCCAACAAAAAACTGCAAGGAACTGCTCGCATTTTTCAATTTCCTCATGCATGCCTACCTTCACCATTTCCTCACGCACAGGAAAATGGAACTGTGATAGCGGTTGTACCACAGATTGTACAAGATACCAGATTGTACTTCTACTTAAGATTTTGTTGCTTAACTTGGAATATATGGGCTCTCTTTCAAGCACAGATGTACTCTAATGGATGTTTAGCTACTGGGCATTGGATGAAAACTGACTTGTTACAATTAATTCTCCACAAAAGCACTTACAATTTTACTATTGAGGAAGGAAAAAAAGATTATGGTCAAACCCCGGCCTGGTCAGAGATCATTGCTTGTCTTCATATACAGTGTTGTAAGAGGGGAAAGAAAAATGGAGCCTCCATGGCAGAGGATTTATATCTAATTGTTCCAGAGTTTGTTTCCTCCTGAGGCAGAATTAGCTCTGTTGTACTTTTGCTGAGGCTGGTGGCAGAAAAGAAATCTGAACCTTTGGAAGTGACTTATGGCTTTGAATTGAAAGGGGCATCTGATCTTCCTTACATTGTCAGCCGCTGCTTTTTCCAGCGGTTCACTGAAAAACTGACAGCCAGTCAGCTTCAAAGCAGAGAGGATCTGCTTAGCATCATTATCTTCAATCCAAAGGCAATGCCAAATATGACATCTGGCAACCGGGTTGGATGCAAGGGCTATTCCACATCACATCCATAGAGGCATCTGCCAAAAATGCCGTAGGCCAGAGACATTTTTCTCTATGGAAAATAGCTTCTTTTGGAGAGATCAGAGATTTTAAGATGATCATGCCAAGCCATCAAAGCTCTGGAAAAGCACGTAGCAGATAAAACTGCCTGCAAATCAGATGCTGCTGCCTCAGAATCTGGTTTTGAAGCTTCCTCCACTTTTTTCCAGCTGGCCTAGTCATCAGAAAAGAAACTCTCTTCACAGAAGGCAACCGTCCTCTTAGTGAGGGGAGTTTCCTTTGTACACTTGAATGGAAACATTACTACTGCGGGTACCACTGTACCCACTTCTTCTAAGTTACGCTGTTGGACAGTCTGTAGTATCAGTGTGAAGCTTAGTGCCACTACTCATTCCAAAACTCAGGAAATCATGAAGAATACTACGAAAATCTGTGAAAAAACTTTGCTCTATCTTCCTCTGCCAAACCAACTCCCTAGGTTTAGCCTATGACTACTGGAAGAAATATATGACTTCTGCTTTGAAAAGTGTATTCCACTAGAGGCCCTGAAGATCACGTTGCCTTACTGTTGTTGTTGGAGGGCGAACAATAGCGAACATAGCAATTACAACATCAGTCCATGCCTCAGATGATTTGCAATCAGGGCTCAGACCAAGACACAGCACAGATATTGAGCTAATCTAAAAAATGTCTTTTTCATGGACATGGACAGTTTTACAAGCTGTTGTATCTTTGCCTTGTTTGACACGAAGGAATATCAGCATCCCTTTGTGACACAGGAGTGCGTGACCTCAGCAGTACAGCGGCTCTGCTCGTTGGTCTCCAGCAAAACTCAGAGCTCCTCTCCTCTGAAGGCCCTCTTGTACAAAGGATTAGGAAACACTGAAATATCATGGGCTACCTGTCAACATTCAGGTTTTGGCATATTGTCTTTTCAAAACATACAGCAACTGTCAGAGTACACTCTTCTGAGATTAGTGTTGATCAGAAAGCTCAAGAAAAATTATGCAGGACAAAGCATGCATGAAGAGTGCTTCAGCTGTGTCCTAAAACTGGAGTTTTTTCACAGGCAGAATGCAAAACTCTGCTGATAAGGCCTGCGTACCTTTTGCATAAAGATCAATGTTAAGGACCTGTCTTTATTTGCTTTAACCTGGTTCCAAGATGCCTTTCTTTCATTTTTACTGAAATAGGGGCAACGACAGAACAAGGAGCAGCTCTACCTATTAAGGTCTTGGTACAGAAAGGCATGTTTGTGAGTGAAACACCTTTTCGGCAAACATCTTTCCCCATTGAGCACCATCTGACCTTTGACTGCACTATGTAAAGGTGAGGAGGGAACGTTCCTCACTGCAGCACCACGTTTGATAGGGAAAAGATCGCTCTAGTGTACTGTAACTATGAATAGCCATGATATGTTTTAAACAAAGACCAATACCTGCTAGAGCAGCCTTCCTGTTCCGACTTGGATGGTTGGGTGCTGAAGTCTGAGCAGGCTGCCAGGTGATGGGGCTTTTCTCTCCAGGTTTTCCCTCAATCTGCCCAAGCCGCGCCCCGTGCATTAGTGGGAAAGCAGAGCTGCTTGGCAAGAATTAACAGAGACATGATGCCTAAAGGTCTGAGTTGCAGTTATAGGCTGCTACAAATAGAGGCAGTGTATGGTAAGTGTAAGTATAAAGGGACTTCCGGAAAGCTGCTGTCACTCTAGTATGATGCACAGCCTCAGACGCGCAGTTGTATCTACCTCGCTTGGCACAGCTGAGTTGCTCTGGCAGAAGAGTGGTCTGGAAAGCATCCCAAATGAATGCACTGACTTCAACGACCACAAAGTGCTTTCAGCGCTGGAGAAGCGCGGAATACCTGGGATCCCCGTGCACCTGCCGAGGCAGGTACTCTGGCAACGGCCCACAAGTCCGAGAGGGTGCTGCCCTTCTACAGTGGCACAGAGCAGCTGGTCAGCCTTCTACTAACTTCTGTATGAAAAAACTCCCCAGGAAGAGTGTTTCCCAGGGCATGCTTGGGTTTTTATCCGCAAGGGAAGACAAAAGCAGGCTTAAGGCTCCATCCAGGAACCGTTCTGAATGTGAGCGGACAAAAACCACCGTGCTCTGCCGCACTGCAGACATGACTTGCTTAACTGTCTGCTCTAACTCCACAAACGTGCTGACAACTTTAATGGAAGCCTGCAAACAATTATCCGGATGCTTACCTTCTTCCTCAACAAAAGAGATGAAAACCATGTCTGAGAAACAGGATAGAACAAAATGGATAATATCCTGTAAATCTCCCAAGTATGCTAATTACTTCTTGGTACCAAGAAGGCAGCAATCAGCCCAGCAGAGTTTGAGATTACAAAAATGAAGATAACGAGACAAGGGCCGACTGGTGGCTGTGATGCTTCAGCTTCTTACAAGTGTGGGCTCTAAAAATGGAAAAGGACAATTGTTCAGAGATTCGACTAGAGCCACAATGTAACAATCCTCCATGCTGCAGTAAGAGAACAAACCTACCGCTCCCGTGGATCTGTCAAGTGGGAAAAATACTAAAACCAGTATACCACATCAGTAAAATCATATTAGTTATACATCAGTAACTCTCAGCATGGATACTTATTTCATGGTAGAAATGCTAAATGTGGAGTTAAAATTATAGTGGTGTAATTATACTGGTTATACTCAAGCATGTGGCTGAACCCCTGTTTTGATTTGTGATCTAAGAGGGCCATTTTTCAAAAGCTGATTAGAATTCAGTTTATTTGGGACTGCATATACTTCTTGGTGCAAAATCTATACAGGGAAATGGAAATTAAAATGAGTAACTTGAAAGCTTGCTGTTTCTAGGAGGGTGGTGGTTTGATCAAGAAGAAACTGGATCCAGATTCCTGTTTAAATTCTGGTGTTAATTAAGTGGTGCAACTCCCTCTGAAATTAATGAAGCTGTGCATATAAAAAAAGGTACAATTGAGCTATTTCTGCTTCCTCTGTTATGCATACAGGTTTTGCCAGTCTACTATAGCACAGGGAATATTTAATTATTAGCGGGTACAGTTACGTCAGCAACTACTACAGGGGAACTCCAAAACTTTTAAGATGTTGAATAAAATTTCTAGAAAAACAGAAAATCCCTTTTACAAAAGGCACTTAGGTCTCCAGGGCTTTAGTAAGCATAACACAAAATGGAGTTTAGGTTTAATTTGAGAAATTCGGTAAGTGCCGCATTTAACCTTTAACATAAAACTTTCAAATATGCCTTGGAGGAGCAGTAGGTATGAACTATCAAACTGTTCATACAAGACAGTGCAAAAAAAATCAGTGCTTGCCTAATTTTAGCTATACTGTATAGGAATAAACCACTGGCTTTTTCTCTTACCTTTTGTAGACAGGAGTGTACAAAAAGGAAGAGCTGCGTAACCCAAGCAGAAAATGACAAAAACAATTCAAATTGTTTCAAGAGTTCAGCTACCATGCAGAAACTTAAGAGAAAACTAAGATTACTCAATATATTTTAGAGAAAAAGTCTGAATAGAAATCCTAGGTTCATACTGTCTTGAATATGTAATAGTCTAGCTTCCGATTTTCCATGCATATCCAGTTCAGTACTCACACACTCTAACATTCTCAGCATATGTTGTAAATTACATTTATATTATATATATAGCTTTATTATATGATAGCACCTTAAAACCAGAGATACAGCATTACTCAAGAAGTATTTATGTTGCTTTTCAATAGATGTTTTTAATATCTAATGCTAGCTTTTCAAAGAGAATAAACAAAGTCTTTAACATGACAGTCTAGATATTACATGTATCACAGATAGATAGCACAAATTAGATACTGACACATCAGGATCTAATACTACACACTCTCTTCTCCTTTCTTTACAAGGTCAAGTGTCCAATACACATACACAGTGATAGGAAGAATAAATTGTGTTTTACTCTAACTATAGAATCACTGACATTTAATAAATGTTCTCCATCCTTTGATAATTCGTTTGATAAACTTTCAGAAAGAGCTTACTTAAGGCCAAAGTTTTTGATAGAAGGTCACCTTTCCAAATATTTATTTCATTTCATTTCCCTGATTCAACTAGATTAATAATGACAGCAACTTGTAATTATTCAGTCAAATCAACAAATGGGCATTTCACATGGAAAACCTTTTCAGAAATGTTCAATGCCGTCGGCCCTTCTGAATGGGTTGGGTTTTTTAACTTTTCAGCACTGTCTTTAACAGACTTCTCCAAAGCCACTGAGGCAAATGGGAATGTCTCTGATGTCTTCAGTGGGACTTGGATCTGGCCCAAACCAAATGGGCATTAAAGTTCAGTCACAAAAAGTGTTAGACACTTAACTATTATATCAGCCCACTGTCAGTAATTAACATGTTTTCTCTTTCCTGCAAGTGCCCGTATCAAACAGAAGATACAGCCAAGACGCTCTCCCTGACAACTTCACAAGCTGCACAGCACCCATGCCAGGCAGCAGATACAAAGAAGAGATTTATGATTCTGGCATCATCAAACCCAACAAGGTAGAAAACAGGATTCAGCCGCCTCACCACCTCATTAAAGAAGAAAACAAGTTAGCTTTTAACAGAGACCTACAAGAAAAAATGAGCATTAATGACAGTTCTTTTTCAAACTCAATAGCTAACTCCTTGCTGCCAAAATCAGAATGTTTCCAGTCTAAAGCTATAGGACAACTAAGTCATCTCCTGCCAATGCCCTCAGTATACGAGCAAACAAGAAGGATTTGTATGAAAGAACCAAAATATGGGCATATCAGTCACCACGCTACAAATCTAGATGAACTGGACGGTGATGAGAGGATGACTGTAAAGCTTGATCATGACTCCGAAAGCGAACGTGTGATGGATGTCAGACCCTCTGGACAAGTTCCATTTGTGCTTCTAAATTATCACCATGTTTTAGCCAAACATGGTACATTTCAAACTTCATCATGTACAGCGACAGGACATGTAGGAGAAAATTATGCATACAATTCTGAGGAATTAAATACATTTCTTTATAAAAACCAAAGCCCCTCATCAGCTTCTTCTCCAGACGCCCACAAGGAATCTGCACTACCCCATTATATTGGAACTTCTGTAATAATAGCCAATGGAAGGTGATGGTAATAGAGGAATATTTACTTTTAATTAAGAAGCCAAACTGAAATGATTTGCCAAAAGCATGAGAAAACATGGTTACATTTACTGAGCATAGCTGAAGGTGAATGAGGGACAGACTCGTGTGTTCCTGGCAAGCCACGTGTAACAGTACCTTCAAGGTCAGGAGAAAAACCTACATCTAGCTTCAGCGCTTCATTGTCACAGATTAAGCTCTGGTGCCAGTGAGAAGATATGTTACAGATCTTATTTTTGTTATTTTATAGTGTGCAACAAAATTGAATGATAGGTGTTATATGCAGAGATTTATATGAAGAACATTTTTTTTCCTTAACCCCTCCTTCTCAAAATACATTCAAGTTTTTTTTATCATTATCATAAACCATACACTCTAGTTAGGTATTTTTGACAAACTGTGTGAAACCTTACATCAACTTGCCATACATGCGTTCAACATTTTGACAAATGAACTTTCTTTAAAGAGTGGTGATTTTTAGTATCCATAATAGAGCTGTACTAACTGAACACAACTGGTCTTGGAAAAAGCTTATTTATTAATTACCCAAAAGTTTTAAAACTAAATAAATCAAATCTAAATTTGATTTATTTAACATAGATTTCAGTGTTCTGAGATTGTTACCACCACCATTTATCTTGACAAGGAGCGATATGACAAATTAATACATACAAAGATACGTATTAAAGGGTTACAGGTCTTGTCATGGCAAATTGGGACAAATCACATAGCAGAAACTAAAGACTACTCCCCATAAAAATGTTGTAACGAGAAAAAGAAACTTCCAAGAAGTGTGCTTCATTGAGTATTCTGGGAGAAGGCTGTGTGGATTTTCAAAGCAGCTAGTCAAAAATACATCTTCATAATAGCACCAGAAATATTTTCTTTATAGTCAAGGGAATAATAACATTTATGCTTTATTTTAAACTTACCAGTAGCCTTCTGAAGCTTGAAAGGTTCAGCCTTAAACACACTGAACTTCCTTAGGCATAAATCTCATTGTCAACACAAAGGTAAGATTAATATTTAACTGATTCGTGCACTTCACAAATAATGTCGGTGGACAATCTGAATGTGGAAAGTCAAAAGTCACTGCACAACCACAAAAACCAAAGCTGCCCTTGAAGTAAAGCAGAGTCGGAGCGCGTCGGGGTCTGGAACCAAACACTTTGCACACACCTCGATTTCTGCTAATCAACGCTAGCAACGGAAAAGCAGACAGCACACACTTACAGTTTGTCCAGCCTATTGGGAATAGATTTCCCCCCTTTTCTTCTTTGTAAAGTTTATAAACAAGGAGACATAGGGATCTGTGCGTGTTTAACTGACAACAGTCAGTCCACTTTGGTTTTCAACCACTTCCCAAACACTGTGCACTCTTGATAAAACAACAAATGACTCCTTAAATCACAGCTGTAAATACCAACAATAAAGGTTGTTGTAGATACCAGTCAGCTATACTTTGTTCTCTCTCTCAGCCCAATTCAAGCCTAATTTACAGTTTCAAAACTTTCTCTCTCTTATCAGCATCTCTCTAAAGAGATCTTTACTGAAGAAAATGCTTACTCGGCTCCTGCAATAGGGAGAAACACTTGCTCATGGATTGCACCTTGTCAGACAAAAATGTAATGAAATACACACTTCTGAAAATTACATGTTCTCCGTCTTTTACAGGCAGCAATAATATTCAGTCATCTCCTTGTACATATGAATATTTATTGCTGTGAGTAAACAAAAATACTTATAAAACATATGTTTGAAACCAATATTCGGTATTTTTAGTGCTTCTCATTAAAAGGTTAACAGAGAAAGCTTTATTATGAAGTTAAACTGACGTTCACTTAGAAGCTCACAGTTGTCTCACTATTTCATTTGCTAAAAAAGCACAAAAAATATTTTTCATGATAAATATAACAAAAAAATACCTAATCAGCCACTACCAGAATACTGACTTAGAACTAAAAAAAGCAGAACCAAACCAGCATATTCAGTCACTCGGTATATCTGCGCTCCTTGGTTCGCCTAACGCTGGAGAGGTTTGCCAGCCTACAGAAAGGCTGTGAGCGGGTATTACTGGCGTTCTGACTTTCTAAATCGAAGCGACGAGACGCGCGTTGGCTTTACAGTGGCTTTGGTTAGCAGCCTTCCCAGCCGCCGTCACTCGTGAACGGGCCCAATTCCTTAAAAGATACAACTATGCTACAACTTGTATATTAATTTTGTTAAATTAAAACCATGCCCTGCAAAGGGGTAACTGACATTGTTTGCATCATTAAAAAGAAACCTGATGCACAACGCTCATACTGCTTTCCTCTGTACCTCATTAGTGGCATTGCTGCACATAAGTCAATCCGGTGTATTTTTCTGTTCTTGTAAGTACTTCTCGCTATAAAACCATGTTTTCAGGAACGTACAAATTAGGCTTCAGTTAAAAAAATGCCATCGCTATTTTTCAGTAAAATACCACAAAATATTTTTCCAGCATTTACCTTGTTATTCACACTTTCCAGGCTTTATTCAATGAGCCTGAGCAGAGGAGGTGTCCCATCGTTCCCCCACCGCTGTTTTACTCTGTGTGATAGCCAGCTACAGGAACTTTCTCTGGTAGGCAACAATGAATCATTTCTGCATTCACATATGACAATACAGGGCAGGCTTAGAAAAGATGTCTGATTAAAAAACAAATGTGTGAAACATTTTTCCTGCCATTCCAAAATAGAAACAGCAATTGCACGTTCACATGTGGAATGTGAGTAGATTATATTGAGAGAAAAATATGACTTTTAGTCAGTTAAACTACAGATGTTCACAGCACGCTCGTACTGCAGAACACGGCACCGCCATTGACAGTGGCAATGGTTTTAATAATTGGAAAAAATTATGTCACAGAAGTGGAGTGTGAATTGGAATATATTATGAAAAATAACCTCATTTCTCTCTACCGTACTTGTCTGAGCCACTACGGCTACCTTTGTCACGCGACTTGATAGGATTTGAACTCCTAGGGGAGTTCAGACCTAGCAAGTAAACGATACGGAGCATGAGAGAGAGAGTGAGAGGGAGAATATTTTACCAAAATGTAAAGTTGGAAACAGTAATCCCATACTGAGCTCTCAAGGTTTTTATCCTGTTAATAGAAACACCACAATGCAAATACGGTGACAAGGGAACAGACTTCTCTCCAGGTTGCAGTAGCCCTGTAATTTGAAAAAAGATATTAAAGGAATTTAATGAAATTAAGCACAGTAGACAGTAGGTGTCAAATTGGAGAACATATCACTGAGAGGAAGTGCAAATGAATGGGAAACCTGCCAGAACACCAGTATTTCTCCAAAAATCACAAAACAGGACACCAAGTATTTTTTCAACGTCAGTCAAACTTCAAAAACAACACAGAGAAAACATCGTAATTCCATTATTTTCCTGAACATTAGATTTTGCTTTTTTTATATGATGCAGATAAAAGCTATTCGGCAAATGTAGGTGAAAAAGCACGCAAAACAAACAACGTATTAATGCTCAGAATTATATATGTATTCCCTAAAAATGTAAAGCATTTTTGCTTATTTATTATGTAAAACAAAACTGTTAAAATGTTAATAAAATCCTGTAGCCAAAGGAAAAGTGAGTTGGATTTTTTTACTACAAAACACAGGGCTTCACAGAGAATAATGTTGCATATTTGAAAATTTATTTCAATTGTAATAGGTACTGTATTTGACAGTTAATATACTATAAAATGCAAGGACTTTTACAATCTCTTGTATTTTAGCCGTGTTGCATTTTAAAGGAAGATTCTTGGAGAACTGAAAGTAACAGAGAATCACTAATGAAAGGCGCTAATGCAAGGCGCTCAAACACGACATCAGTTTACAATTCTTCCCTGCAGTCCTTTCTTTCTCAGCCGTGTGTTCCATGACTGCAGGCCGTGGCACGCCGTCGTTTTTTGACCTCTGTTCTTTCCTCAGTCCAGATTTAATTTGCTTGGTGTCTGATCAGCGTGGTACGTCACTGCAGTAACTTCTGCATGCAAATGCTTTTATCAAACCCGTCACCCCCAGGAATCAGCTCCTGCAGCGCAAATCTTTTTCATGACAGATATGAAGCTGTACTTCAATTTCTTTCTTTCACATAGCTACTGTATATTCCAAAGTAGTTGCAGAGAGTAATTTTTTAGACTGCTGATGTCTTGTAGCTGAATCAGAAAAAGCGAGGAAATAAAAAAAAATCTGTTGTACAATGTAGCAGCAGCATAAAGAATTAGATGCTTTATTATTATTTCTGGGTAACAGCCCTTACATTTGTTGGATATATTTAAAAAAATGCTCTGAAGGCTTGTAAAACCTTTTACTAGAAGTGAGATGTACTGCTTTAACTCTTCAATGTTAAGTACATTATTACTTTTTCAAATCTTTGGAAACAGCGTTGGTGCTGACTGGACACACAACCCCATTACTCGTTCTGAACGCAGACACGTGCCAACACACCCAGCCTGCTCGGCAGAAATTTTCCTATCAATAAACAATCCCTACAAATATTTTCACAATGTGTCATGAGAAATGATATAACAGAGTCCAGGAGGAAAAAAAATGAAGTCACAGAAATATGGGCACGGTAATAAATGTTTTTTGAAAGCACTTCATCAAGAAAATAGTTGAAGATATGACATCAGCCTCACAGTGAAAGAGATGTTTAACTAATCCAAACAGCTGAATGAAATTAAACATTTTCAGTGCATTACTTCTGGATCTGGAGTCGGCTGATTCTCTCCATACCTACGTCCAGAGACGCTCTACGCCACATCTGTCTGTCCTACACACAGAAGAACAGCCACAATGATTTTCATGCAAAAACGCTGTGGCTTTCTGGCTGTGCCAAGTTTGGCATAAAAAAAGAGCAGGACTACCGGCTGCGCTCCCCACCGGCCGCGAGGTGAGCGTGGCATGGGCAGGGTCCCTGGCTTTCCCGCTGGGAACAGCGGCCAGGCAGAAGGACCTCACGCAGCTCCTCACCGTGCAATGGGCAATCTCTTTGTGAAGTTCTCCGGTTCTTTTGAAGCAAATGTCAGGTTTGCAACAAAGGCTTCACCCAGCTCAAGGCTGCTTCCTCAAGACACCAGGCAGCTGTACACACACCGAGCAGGCCGCTATAGAGCAGAGGCAAAGGGGTACATCCCCACAGCACCCACCTGCGCCCCCACACCGCCACGCTCGCTTAGCTCTCATTTGCAGACAGGAAGTTCAATGCCAAGTTTCTTCCCAATACAGAAATTTTCAGCATCATCTTACAGTTCAACGTGAGAACAGAACAAGCTTTTCATTAAGATGACCAGGAAGAAATCCAAAAGGAACAACAGCAACCAGGAAATATTGCAGCATTTTACTATTAAAAAAATCCACCTGCCTGCCGCTCAGACGTTGCCGTAGCGCAGCTAAGTGAAGGTTTGCAGGTTCGTTCTGCCCTTCATCATACAGGAACACGTTTTACCGTTTTCCCCGGTCACCTTCTTACAGTATTCGTCCCTCGCGAAGGGAGAGCGTGCTTTAAGGAAGCAACTCAACCTGTCGTGTGACCTGCTCGTTAAAAGAAATCTCTCAGGTACTCCTCAGTCTGTCTGGAATACGAGGGAAATCAAAGGTGCTTCCCTACAGGCACACCCCACAGTACCAAAACAGAGAGAGCATTTTGGCCGCAAATATGGGACTGATGTACAGATCTCAAGCTTTGTAAAACTCTGCGGCTGGAAAAACAGTATCAGAGCTACCCTTTCCCCAGTGGACCCGCGGCAGCACGCGTTGGTCACAAGCTGCTCGAAGGAAGAGGTAGAAAAGAAGTGAAGATGCACAAGGAAGATGTGGGGGTGTGTATGCACACGCACATTTTTTACATCTGTATATACAAATGGGCTCTTCTTTTTACTTAAACTTTATTAACTCCGACTCAAGTTTCATTTGATTATAATACGCATCAATATTGGATTCTGAAATAAAGGTAGCTGCCAAAAATTAACAGCCCAAAGCAGTTTTGAAAGCATCTGGTGGGAAAACGCAAAAACTGGTGTTCATGTGTATCATTTTAACTATGCCAATTAACAGCTGTCTACACTCCACTGCACAGTTCTGTGAAATATTGGTGTGCAGTCCCACATGCCGCGGATCATGGGGGAAAACAAACCAGCAGGGGACGGACAACCAGGCACACACACAAATCTGTGGCGATATGGAGCATAAAATCTTAAATGTAATAGGGACAACTTAATTTCTAGAACTTGCTGCCAAGCCACCTAAACCCTAATATGTGAGGATTACTCTAAATTACCATTACAGACTAGCTTCCTTGTTTTAAGACTTCTTGGCTTTGTAATTGAAACAATCTACTAACATGTTCAGATTGTTTATGAGGCGAACTTTAACCTAAAAAACCCCTTTCTGGCTAGCAGACAGAAGTCCTTTGTGGAAACCAATTTGGCTGATCCACCTTCAGTAGGGACAAGGTAACGCAACCAGCAGTGCCGCCCGCTTGAGGAAATGAAGCCGGCCACATCACACCTATGACAAACTCCTCGTTTGCGGAGACCTGTTTGAAGCGCGGTGGTGG